AAGGGAAAAAGTGGTTCCTAAAACTGACAAGCAGAAAATCAATTGAAGAGTTTTAATATAAATAGTAAAAACTATTATAAGAAAAATCAAAATGTAAAATAAAGAAATACTTTTTACATCATATCAGCTTACTTATAATCCTAATATAAATAATATTGCTTGTTATCCTTATATACCTAAACAACCAATGATTTTACACATATTTCAAATCTAGTTATTATAGTAACTAAATAGATAAAAAAGTATTAAGAAAATGAATCTACTTACACTTTCAAGAAACCCCACAATATTAATAAATAGATCAAGTATTATATATTTGTTAGAACTAGAAGAGATTGAGATATAAATAGAAAATTGAGAAGTCTAACTGATTAAACAGGTCATAAATCAAAGAAACATATGACAGATCTAATAAAGAGCCTTAGATATAACTATAAAAAAAATACAAAACAATTTATTTTTTTTATTGATGGATCTTACAAGTAATGTACAAAAAGCAAGGATGAACTTGAAATAGGTCTTGCATAGATTCAAACTAAAAACAATATAATAATTAATCAATTTTCAGTAGGGGTAATATTATAACTATCAACTACAAAAGTAGAAATTCTAGCTATACTTATTGCAATCTTTACAATATCTGAAAATAGAAAAGCAACTATATATACAAATTGTAGTGCAACTATCAATATATAGAAGACAATTCAGTTATAAAAGTTTATTTTCATAAAGAAATAGATCAAAATAATCAATTGGTCACTATAGAACTAAATCAAGAACTCAATACAAAAAAAAAAATCTTTGTCTTATACTTAAAAAAATTAAGGCTTATCAAAACAATGAGTTTAACAATATAGTAAATAGATTAGCAAAGCAGATCAAAAGAAAAAAATCCTTTAATTTATAACAAACATTTGATTTGAATAGAGTTCTCACAATAGTAGCCTAGAAAAAATATACTATCAATATCAATATTAAATATTTTCTTAAAAAATAGAACATAAAAAAAATAGGGCTAGCCTTAATTGAGCAAAAATGTATCCAAAATCAATAAATATACTCTAGTAAAGAAATTAACTGATAAATTTTTTGAAAGCAATTAAATCTATACAATACTTTTTACATATTCTTTAGTATCAATAAGGACAAGAGTTTTTTTATAAATCTAATCTATAATGAACTTTCTATTTGCTAAGTGATGTAGAAAAGAAAACCAGACTTATATTCAAATACAATATACTCAATATACAAGTCGTAAAAGGAAATTCTGAAATATCTCTTTGAATATCCTAAGACTCAGAATAAAAAATCAATTATATGAAACAAATTTTAAAGTAAAATTCTTCAGTACATCAGAAAAATAAAAGCTTATTTGATAAGAGTTAGGCAGAAGTTAAAAGAGTAATAGGAAAATGAATTCAGAACATTAAATAACAAGATAAAAACTTATATAATCCAGTCTATAGCTTTATAGCATTATTATCGAATGGAAACAAAAACAAGAATTACTAGCAAACTTAAAAGGTTTAGAATATTGGTTAATACAACTAGAAGAATGGATTGAGTTCTCAAGAAAACTAACCACTCTTCTATTCTTCTTTCCAGAAATATAACAGAAAAAAAAAATTTAGAACAAATAAAATCTCAAGACAATATAGTAAATATAATAAGTAATTGGTTATCCAATGGTTTTAAATAGTTCAGTTTTTAATTACAATTAAAACTTCAGAAGATCTATAGTAATAAGTTGTAGGCAATAATCTGAGTAGCTAGAAAATAATTCAAGCCATAAAGGAAGTGAAATATTATTCCCTAAGTTATATTTAAAGAATATTAAACTTTATAGATACAGTATATGAGTCAATATGCGAAATTATATATTATATAAATACTTAAATATATTTACAATAAAATAAATAAGCCATATTGGCATTAAAATAATTTTTTAATTTATATTCTTTCCGCTGATCCTCTGACCACATACAAAAAAGATGTTTGCAAGAAGTTTCATACTTCTTTGCTAATAAAGTCTTTATACCTTCATTAAAACAACTTAAAGCTTGTTTTCATGTATCTCCTTTACCTTCCCTTACTTGTTTATAAACTCCTTTGAATAAAAACTTGAGCCTCTAGTGGCCTGAAAAGACTCAAGTATACACTTCCTCTACTAAGGGCAAGAAGGTTCTAGGAAGTAAAAGGACTGACAAGTGGAGTATCACCTTACAGAGCTAGAAACGACAAGAAATAGAGATTTTGTTGGCATGGGAAGGCTTATTATTCACCTTCTCATATACTGTCTTGTACCCTCTTAGAGTGTCTATCACTTTTCATGGTTTTTTTAGGGGATTTTGCCTACCTCAGTTTGGCCTTGAATTTCTGGTAGCACAACATCACCTGATATCTGATTGGTTGATACGAAACACATTAGTAACGAAATATAAACAAGCTCCTATTGGTCACCTTACGTGTTCTGATGACGTTATTGGTGATAAAGAGTTGATTGGTACCACGTGTCTGCTCCACTCCTCCAATTGGGTTAACCTACAGATCAAGTATCATGAGGCCAATAAGATATGAGCAACAAGTCCTCAGGTGGTGAAAAAGCTATTATTCGTTTAAGCTGAGATCTTTCTCTCCTATCATTCTGGTCAGGCAAAGTTCAAGACCAAAGTCTCCTTTTTATCCCAGTCAGGTAATAAAACCGAATGGTCTCTAGTCCATGCTAAGCTCCAACCCTTTGGTTATAGTTGAGAATGCATTTCCCCAGAAGTTGTTGAAGGATATCGCAATTAATGAGGTTCCCCACTGCTCTTCTGGTACCCTCCTACTATTGTGAAGCAAAAAGATCTTTGGGGAAAGACTATTTTGGGCAATGAAAGATATACATTAGTAAAATTCCTTTAATTAGGCGTGGCTGCTGGAAGATATCATACTGAAACAACATGACTTAGTCCCTACTAGGCCACATAAGAACTTAGGGTCCATTATAAGTTGTCTTTTCATCACAGGTGGATAAAAAATCATTGCCCAAAGAAGATTAGGATCAAGTGTATCCTGGAAGTAAAGGCTTTCACTAGGCGATAAGTTTTTTCAGACGGTACACAAGAAGGAAATCAAGATCAAGAATAGATAAGTTTCTCAGACGGTTAGGAAAAGAAAAGATATCCCAATCGGGCATTTCTTATTGAGAAGAGGTCTTTGGAGAAAGCTGGAAATATTTTTTTACTTTTTACTTTTTCATTTTCTTTTTGTTTACCTAGACATTTTTAGATATCCCTTTCCTCTTTTTTCCAACTCATCTTTTTGTAGTTTCCTGTAATCCAGCGGCTTGGCCAGATATACAACAGTGACAACCTGCTGGCAATGATGCAGTGGACTAGAAGGGTCTTCACCCAAAGACATTGCAGAGTGAAATATTGTCCCCAAGGTCGAATTTAGAGGCTTTTATGCTTACGATGAGTTAGTTAGATTTGAATAATAGTTTGGCTGTAATATGTATTATGCTGTTCGAATGAAAATGTATTTTTGTCTTCATTTGATTAATAAATTAACAATTTAGCCTGGCTATGAGTATACAAAAAAAAAAAAAAAAAAAAAAAATAGACAAGCCATATTGGCCTGATTGTATATTAAAAAAAAAACTATTATAAAAATAAAGTAAAATTTAAGATATAGTTAATAAAATTAATAAAATAAATTATAAAAGTAAATTAGAATACCTTAAACTTTTATATAGGTTTTTTAAATCAAAAGTTAATAATAAAAGTATAAATTTTAAATATTCAAAAAAATAAAAAATAATAATAAATAAGTTAACAAAATATAAAAAAAAGTTTTAAATTATTTTAAAAAATAATATAAGATCAAAAATATTAAAAATTAATTATTTGAAAAAAAAATTGAAATTTAAGAAATAATTAAATTAAAATAGTTTATTATAATAATGTAATATAGTAATAATATAACTTTTTGTAATAAATAAAAATAAGGAAAAAAAATAATAAATTTAAAAAATAAATTTTTAATAATATTGAAAATTAAATTAAAATTGATTTTAATTAATAAAATTTTAATAATAAATTTTATATTAAAAAGTATTTATTTTAATATTAAATAGAATAATAAATTATTTTTAGAATCAGATTGACAAAGATAGATAGATATATTATAATATATATGATTCATACAACCAATCTAATAAAAGAATTGCAGTAGTGATCTATAGGTAATAAAGTTAGTAATTGGAAGGATTTTTATCTGAATTACTAATGGTGTGATAAATTATTTCTGAAGTTTTGATAAATTTCAAAATATCAATAAGTGAGTTAGAGATTTAACTTTAGCAACACATTTTTAATGTAAAATATACAAAATATTTAATAAAGCGCACATACCTAGTCTAACAAAGGACTAAAAAAAAAACCAATCTAATAAAAGATTATTTAAATAATAAATAAAATAATAAAATTATTAATTATTTTTAAAGTTATATTTAATAGAAATAGATTAATTAATTATACAGTAGATTTAAATTTAATATTATATAGACAAATTATAATATACATAGTTTATTTTGATTTAATAAAGAATTCTTTGAAAACTTTAAATTAAAAAAGTTTATTAATCATTATCTTTTTGATGAATGAATTGATGTTTGATAATTGAATTGATAAATCACATAAGCATCAAGTTTCGAATTTTAAATTGAAACCAAAATTGGCATAGTTAAAATAAAGATGCAAAAAGTCTATTACAACCGATTTAATTAGAAATTGTCACGGTCAACGTTAATCACAAACGATTAGAATTTGTTAGCTGCAACGACTATCCTGCATGGTTTTTTTTTTGTTATGTAGTCACACTATGCATAAATTGACTCGTCATTGGACGAATAACGTGTACATTTTCCAAGGTACGCACGCACATACATGCGCACTCACTTTTCAAATCTTACCACCACACCTCGATTCCTGCCTCTGTGAAATTATAACAACAAAACAATGTCATTTCACTTGTTGGTAAAACTTTCCCGCGATATTTGCAACCTCTTCGACACTGCTGCGTACTACGACGTGATCATTCGTGTTGGTAAGGGGTCAAATGCAAAGGAATTTCAGGCACATTCGCTTATATTGAGAGCTCGATCGGCTTATTTTCGTAGTAACCTAAAAGGAGATAATGTATATGACAAGGTCATAATTGATAAATCTAACATAACTCCGGCTGTGTTTGAAGTCATTCTTAAGTGAGTATAGCAATTTACATATTGAATCGTTATTCATGTAGAAGCCGAATACTGACAATATTGTAATTTACATTGAAGATACATTTACAGCGGTAAAGTTGACTTCATGAACTGTGGAGGGCAACAAACTCTTGATTTGCTGTATGCGGCCAAGGAGCTCGGTCTCGTCGAGATCTTGGAATCCATTCAAGATCATCTGATCCACCAACAATCAAAATGGATGGATGCCAACTTTATCACACATCATCGCACCATTTTTAGTCACGATTATTTCAAGACTCTCCAAGTCCACTACATCGACAAAATTGCATACAATCCCACGTGCGTTTTTGATAATCCCAAATGTTTTAGTCCTGAAATATTGAAATCTCTTGATGACCTCGGATGCATTAAACTTAATGAGTCGGTGTGGAGTTTTATCGTTAATTGGACGAGATCCCAAATTCCTAGATTGGGGAATCAAGTCGCAGGATGGCAGAAGGAAGACTGGATTGAATTTAAAGAAATTCTCGCTTCGTGTATTCCTTGGAAAAGTGTTTTTTCTTTGAACTGGAATGAATTTAATGATCTCTTGATTCCGTGCGAACCTTTCTTGCCTCTCAAGAAATTTGAAGATGCACTCAGATATCACTTAAGAAAAGCTTGTGGTTCGTCCATTTCAATTTCATCGCCGATTTCCATCCAATTTAGCGGTACAATTATCAACATTTGTCAGGCCACTCTGCTCGCGAGTTGGATTGATCAAAGAGACGATAGACCATACAGACCCGCGGAGATCCCGTATGAATTTAAATTAGTCATTCGTGGACGAAGAGATGGTTTTTTCCCCGGAGACTTTTTACCAGAAATGTGAAGGAGTTCCAAGGACCATAACAGTAGTCAAAACAAGCAACGGTGCTCTGTGTGGCGGATATAACCCTTTGGACTGGAAATTTTCCCACACCACCAGCGATAGTTTTGTCTTTAATTTCGCCCAAGAGAATGTTGATATCAATAGACTCAATGGATTTGCAATCCAAAAACGATCAGGGTATGGACCTTGCTTCGGAAACGACGATTTAACAGTTTTTTCCCGGTGGAAAACGATCGATTTTGTTGAAGATTGATGATTATTCAGAATCCTTCTCGGTTACCGATTATGAAGTTTTCCAGATCGTGGACAAACCTCGAAGATCCAATCTTGCGTCCACTTCACATGAGAAGAGCAACAACACGCACAAAAAACGATAGTTCCTGATGCACATCAGCTAATTGTATTATTGTTTTTACATCGAGGTTTATAGTCATTACTTTAGATAGTACTACCAGAGGATGCCTAATAATGCGATTCTGGATCGACTAATTTATTTATTTAAATTCATCAACTTTATTAACCATGTAACATTTAAATTACTTATTACTTATATACTTGAAGAAAATAGAACCAACTTTCAGTGATACAAGATGGTGTCACGTGATGGTTGTGATCTTTTTTATTTAAGATCAAATACTGTAATCATAGAATCCGTTGAAAGGAATGAAATATTTCTCCTCCTTTGCACATAAAATCAATAGAAATATAATAAATCATACTTATCCAAAGAATTTCCTCTCCCGTTATCAAAATTATATCATGGAGACTGGGGACATAACATATCCAGTATGTATTATTGTGTAACGGAGTCCAGAAGTGCCATATTTTAATTGAAGTCCAATTCTCATTAAAAATGCAATACTGCGATTGATTTCGTGAATAAAGAAGGCTATAGAATGTTTGAATACTTTGCAAACGAATTTTTCTATTCTTGAAAAAATTCGTCAATCTGGGAACGTGGTGAATACCAGGAGCCTATCTAATATGAGGGAATTCTGTCGTCGGATTGGTCATCAGAAAGTGAGTCGTCCGGACTGTTAAAACAATTTTGGATAAGGATAGCATGTCTTGACTTAATTGCCTTTGCCATCATTAGCCATCCGACTTTGATCAATTGAATATTATCCATGTCACTGGAACAAAGGGTAAAGGTTCGACTTGTGCCATGGTGGAATCTATCCTAAAGAACTACCGCCATACAAATGCAGATGAAAAGTTGAAAATTCGAACCGGTACTTTCCGACGTCTCAATATAAATGCATGATTGTCATTGTTAGCTGATTGACGTCATAAATGATTAGGTTTATACACCTCCCCCCATCTTGTTGCTGTTCGGGAGAGAATCCGATTGGATGGGAGAAGTCTAAGTGAGGAACAGTTTGCAAAATATTTTTTTGAATGCTGGAATAAATTGAAGGCGACCGTTCCCCAGGCAATTGTTCTATAATGCGTAGAGTTTTATGTCACGAAATGATCCCCAATTTATTATCATCAAATTGTTCAGGAAGACGACATGCCTAATATGCCAAACTATTTTCAATTCCTCACGTTGATGGCTTTCCATGTGTTCATGAAGGAGAAGGTAGGTATTTCCTTGGAGATATTTTAAAATAAGGTGACATAAAATATCATTTGTTTATAATATTATTAGGTAGACGTGGCTATTGTGGAAGTAGGAATTGGTGGGGAGTATGATTCGACAAACATCATAGAAAAACCTATGGTTTGCGGTGTAACGTCCCTGGGACTTGATCATCAATCTATCTTGGGAGATACGATCGATAAGATATCTTGGCATAAGGGGGGAATTTTCAAGGTATTCATCACGTCAAGATTGATGATGAAGGATTTTTTTTTTTTTTTAAAAAAAAAATTAATTCTACCATTCTTAAGGAAAACACACCAGCTTTCACTGTGGACCAACCGGAGAGTGCATTGGATGTCCTGAAGAATCGTGCCGAAATAGTGAATGTAGTAGATAGCCTTTATTAGTTGGCCTTTTGGTTAAATAAAAGAGAAAACTTATCATATTGCATCTATTCATATAGGCACCCTTTACTAAAGTTGAGACGCCAACACAAGAATCATATAGTGGAATCGATATTGGTATTTCCATCTCAAAGATTACTTACTTACCATCGTTATATTTAATGCTGAGACGCGAATCATTTAGGATTATCCGGAAAACATCAACTTAAAAACGCGTCTTTAGCGATCGAACTGTGTCGTATATGGCTTGACAAAAAAAGAAATATCAAACATTATGATCAGAAGATACCCCGTGAATTTATACCCGGACTCTCAGAGGTCAGATTGCCAGGTCGAAATCAGATGCTTCAATTAGAAAAGTATCAAGGCATAACTTGGTTTCTTGACGGTGCTCATACATTGGAGAGTATGCGAGTAAGTGAATAAAAGTTGTTGCTGTTCATTCGTATGCCAAGAACGATCATTTAAATTATAAAATCTAATTAACAGGCTTGCATGGAGTGGTTCAGGGAAACTGCGATGACGAAAGATGATGATGAGTAAGTTCCAAAAATTTTTAACTTTATCGGAAACAACGGATATTGACATCTTTTGGTGGTACACCACAAAAAAAGCGAGAGAATATTGGTATTTAATTGCACCCACAATAGAAATGGACCAGAAATATTGAAAGAGATCGTGCCAGGAAACTTCAATCGCGCGATATTTTGCACCAATGTGACATTCTCTACACACCAATTCAAACCCGGTAAGCCAATAACAATATGAATTTATCAGATCGTATGTATTGTCACTTTGAATTGATAAATTCTATTTCAGATTTGCAAAATAACACAATGAAAATAGATGAAAATTTAACATGGCAAAAATCACTTGCCGAATCTTGGTCCTCCTTAAATTCACGAGAAGGGAACATTGAATCTTCCATAAAATCAAATAAGACGCACGTATTTCCTACAATTCAAGAAACAATCGATTGGATAGTAGACCACGCAAAGGAAAGTAAGCGTGGAGCAAAAGTCTTGATTACCGGAAGTATACATTTGGTTGGTGGTGTCATGAGCGTACTTGACTACGAAGTAAATATATAAAAAAGTTGAAAGTAATGAAAGTACAAATTTGGGGTTTCTATGCGCAAACTTCATAATAGATCGACATTGTAATTTAGTTCTTCAAACTGTCCGGAAAATGGAACTCTATAAACTGTGAAGTTTATGGTGATTTAATTTCGTCATCAAAGATAGTCACGTGATAAGTATAAGGCCGAGGTATGTATTCGTGCCAAGGGAGAAACAGATGTGTTCACTGGAAATTTTGAAACGGTTGTGAAACTTTTTAAAACCTTCCCTCGATCCACTCCGTCTTTATCCTTTTGGTCGGTCCCCCAAACCGATTCCATGATGAACCATTTGTTTGTTTGTTTAAATTCGGTTTTCTTATTGGCCCTCTTTAGGGTTGAAATCATATGATTTAAAAAAAAAAGAGAGGTAGTATCGACTATTTGTATAATCGGTCAGGGCCGGTTCTATTCAGGACCGATCAAAACCTACTTGCAGCTTACATATACGCTTACCGCAAATGTATGACTCATATATTTTTGTAACAAGGCAATATCTTACATTTACTAAAAGGGAGACATATGTACATATTATGGGAACACGATTTTCCAACTAATTTGGAAATTTCCGGTCGTTATGCATCTCGCAATAGAAAATATATAATACACGAAATATTTTTAGGTGCATTCTTTAATTGTTCCATCCTCACCCAGACATACTAACTGAGATATAGGAAGGCCTTCTTTGGATTCTGGCTACCTATGTTTATCAGTAAAATAAGGTATTAAAAACAGTTATGAAGAACAAATTTGGGAAGATATATTTATCTAAAATACGTACAAACTTAATTCTTCTAGAAATCTTCTTGAGACTTATCAAATAGTCGCCAAAGATGCAGACTACAAACCAATCACTAATTTCACGGCCGAAGAAGAAGAAGATTCGAACTTACCTTTAGAATATGATGCTGTAGAATTATTCGCACATGGCGATGACATATCCGTCGAGGAGCGTATGTTGGATTCAACGTTCGAGGAGTTTTTTGATTTGGTGTCGGATGGTGGCGAAATAGACGAATCCGCCGATGAAGGCGAAGATTTCTATAACATAAATCCTGAGAAAGATGATAAGTCGATCCTATCGCACCATAAATCTTACCAGAGTAATGAAGAAAAAGAGGAGCATGAGTTTAATCTTTCTTCATCGTCATGTATCGAAACAATGGGTGATTATATCGACGAAGGGTCCGAATTAGATGACGGCTTGCCAACATCAGATTTGAACGATTTCGACAACTTAAAACGGAGATCAACCTTTAAACAAAAAGTCGCTTCTTTGCTGCGTAATATAGAGTACTCTGTTAAGCCCGACGAAGTTGAAGGATTTCTCGATGTATCTGATGAATCATCTGACGACGATGACGAAGCGAACTTCACCCATGAAGTGACAGATTATTTTGAAGAACCTGAGGAAATGAACGACAATGAGGAAATTCTTTTTGATAGCATAGAGAATAAGCTTGATGACGAATCGACTATAAATACGAGTCAAAGTGACGTTGACATGGACCATTCTAAAAACATTGCTATTGAGTTAAATAACGTATTTCATCAATTATACACAGAATATAATCTTGAAAATGGCTCGAAATTTTCTTTCGCACAGTCCATTATCAAAGATTCGATTAAAGATTATTCGCCAAGTAACGAATGCTATTAATATTAATGATTAATCCTATCTGCATGAATACTTTGTAAATCAACTCAGCGCATATACAGTATACATACAATATAATCAAAAAGGTTATTATATCAAAGAAATAAAAAACAAAATTTTTCATTTTTGCAGTATATTCGTTTTGCATTTTTATGTACTGTATACAAAATATATTGTATATTACTAAGTTAAAATTCAAATTTACACGGTTCGTTACATTGAATCTTTCTTTATATGATCTTTTTGTTGAAATAAAATCATGAAACTATTTAATTCACGAACACTTGGTGGAAGAAAGTCGCAGGGCGATTTGATTAATTGGGCAAGATGCATACTCTTATAGTAGATAGTGTGAATGTAGTTATTCAAAAAATAAGGTCCAATTTGCATATAAAAGGCATGATATAAGCGAACATTATTTTTATTTTTATTTTTTTGTCTTTTTTTAACATCTACCTTTTTTAATTTCCCCTCTAAAACTTGTACAAGAAAATTTGGAACTTATAAATAGCTTAGCAATATTATATTGTATATTTCAAAAAACCATGCTAAAGTATATTTTAATTATTATAAAAGATTAAATGAAAATCAAAAACAAGAAAAAAATTTTTTATTTCATAATAAATATTTGATTACCATATGAAGAAAGGATATAATGAGTTATTTGACTTTTGTCGTTAAAATAATTATTATTCAATTATAATTTCATAATATTTTATAAAATATATATATATATATTAAATAACCATTGATTCTTTGCAATTGGTTTTAAGTAAAAACAAATAATCAATTATTATTTCTACTTAAAATATATTGATCAATAATTTATTTTATATAAGTTATCATAAGATGATTTAAGTTTAACTAATATTGAATTAATTAATTAACTTTATAATTCAAATTATTAAAAAGTAATACATGAAACTATAAAAATTTTTTAAAAAACCAGTAAATGGTTTGAAAAATATTTAATAAATAGAAAATTTCCTTCTCTCTTCAAATAAAAGAATTATTTGATTATTAAATAATAATAGATTTTTTTTTAATTTTTTTTTTTTTTTTTTTTTTTTTTTTTTTTTTTTTTTTTTTTTTTTTTTTTTTTTTTTTTTTTT